TGGGAAAAAAAACACAACACAAAACATCACACAAAAAACCCACCAAGTTTTACTTCATATTAAGAAATATCACAATACTTTTAAATGTCTTTAATATGTAAAAGAAAATATTAGAACATAAGGTCACTTATTACTGATACTCAGTCACAGCACAATTTAACTTTACAAAGAGATGATCTCATATACAGTCTCCTGACAATGAACATCGGTTGATAGAAAAAAAAATCCCTAAATAGTTAATTACCATTGATTGCAATCCTAAGGTTTTAGATGAGTTATCCTGTAATGCCAATAAAATTTCTTGCAAAAATAAGATATATTTAAGCTTTTTCAAAAGATCTTGCGTATGTACATATGTATACACACAGGTTTTTGCAAAATATATGTAAATCAATAGTTAAGTACTGGTTCAAATCACTAGTGGAGACTATTGACACAATTGGGACTTTCATCATGTCACTTTTCCCAGAGTCATACTTATTCATATAGTGGCTTTTGGTGTGAGTACTTGTGTTTTTGTTTGTTTGGGGTTTTTTTGTTTTGTTTTCTTTCTTTTTTTGTGTGGGCTTTTTTGTTTTTTAAAGTAATTCTACAAGTAAGATTCTTTACAGCCATTCTTAGCTTGTCAAGTTCAGGTCAAAGTTACTTCCCTCAGATACTTTTAGTATGTAATTGACTGTAGGTGCAGGCAGTAGAATTATTATTTTTGAGGCAACGTGAAAAAGTTGGATTGTCTTGTTGTTGTGATTATTTGAATAATCAAGTTACAGTACATAGATATTTGCCACTGCCCATTCCTATTATAGAAATAGAACAAAATACCCCAAAAACCTGTGTGAAGATATAGAGAATACAAAATAAAATTTAATGAAATAGCAACCATAGAAAATAGATTGCATTGTGACATTTGTCCCTTCCTTTCCATAAGCACTGGCCAGGTCCCATGGCGAGTTCCTTACGGGCAGGCTCTTATGCTGCCCTGCCCAGACGCCAGGTTCTGCTGTAGGCATGCACACCACATGTTTCGTCCCTAGTAGAATCGTTACTGTTAGAAAACAGATACATATCCTTCTACACTAGGCTTGTATACCAGTAGGGTGAGCTGCAATAAAATAAATGAGTGTACTATATTGTTGTAGGCTCAAACTTCAACTGAAATCCAAATACAACACAGTTCATGCTTTGCCTAGGAGGCATAGTAAGAGAAAAAGAAAGATGAGTCACACAGAGAGATAAGATTGAAAGAAATATGGCACATTGCATACAGCTGGGCTGTCAGATGGAGCAGGGAGAAGATCAATCTTCCCCTCCTGACACAGTCAGTCTGTGCCTTGTAGGCACTGGCAAATCCCCAGAGATCACAATGTACAACTACTCCCAGGAAAGGGCAGAAAGCCCTCTAGAAAGATCCACCCTCACCTCCCCTCCTACCCCACCCCCCCAACTTACAACAACTAGTTGAGCTAGTGCTTACTCCCAAAGCCCCAATATCACTACAAACAAGTCTACCATTGGCATGAACAGAGCAACTTCAGTGCTATTGCACTGCCCGGCTGCTTTGAAACACTTGGCTAGAGAAGAATATGAGAAACGTAGATAAATTGAGTCTCAGTTTATAGTCAGGCCATGACCTGGGCAACAGCTATGAGAACGACAGAGGACCTCACACAAGTTTAAAGAAAGTTCTGCTCTAACATTACTCAGATGACATGCAACACTAAGTTGACCAGTTAGAAGCACATAGAAGCCTCACACTAATGGGTCAGAGCAGAAAAGAAAGGCGCTCTCGCTGCAATTCAAAGTACTTGCTTCATAACGCTGCCTGTAACAGGATGAAGCTTGGATTTAGTGCAAGAGTACTTTTGCCTTTTGTGTCATTTCAACATGGACTTTAGATTTCACATAAAGAACTTTGATAAAGGGATGGAAAAATATTAGTCACAAAACTTGGACAATGCATGCAAGACTCCAATGAAGAAAAACACAGCTTCATTTCATTACAGCTGATCAGTAGACACATCAAGACAATTTCAGAGTAAACAGCCTCTATCAGTGGTGTATCAAAGCCCAACTGAACTTTTTCTGATAGAAACCACAGCCACTGTTTGCCTATGGTATCTACAAGAAAGGAATTGGGCACTAACATGAGCAGCATAGACACAGCCAAAGGTTAGTAAGATCTTCTACACTAAAAGAAAATAGTGAAACAAAAAACCATGTCAAGGAATTTGGAAGATTATCCCTAAAAATTTTCATTTAGTAGTTGCATTTGTAACCAAGGAGAATAGTCCAAGAAGAGCTTCTGTAAGCATAAGGTTTTGTACTTCGAAACATTAACAGAAAAAGTATAGCATAGGCAGGGAAACACCTCGTTTTCTCTTGGCGTGTAAATTTATCTCAGAATAGCAAAAGCATTCATTTTAGAGATGTTTCTGACAAACAACTTTATCCCTGTTTATATACGAATATTTTGTGTATTACTTTTAGTACAAACTGAGTGGCATCATCAAAAGCAATTAATTAGAACTTTTATACATTGATTTCTCTCTAAATGCTCTGCTGAAAGCTATGCTGTGTGCTAAACTGTGACATTAGGTAGTTTGCAGGTTCACTGGCAGCATAAGGGTGCTGAAAAAAGCAAAATGTATGTTGTAGTTTGAAAAATAAAGAAATCTTGTTCTTTGATCTACCAAAGCAGTTTTCCTTACATTTTTCCAATATAAAATACAGTAACAATTAAACAGTCATTTCCAGATCAGTACTGCTTATATCTTTTACAGATGTGAATAACTTCAGGACTTCATTTATGATCAGACCAGTAATTCCTTCTCAGAAAATGTTGTAACTGTGTGACTTTCTTTTTGATTTTAAGACCTGCAGGAAGCACAGACCCTACATGTTAAAGAACTTGTGTCCTTGTTGCAATAAAACCTTATAATGAGCAAACAAAAGGGATACTACTTTTTATTTATATGCATCAGGGGAAAACAGCTCCCATGATCCAAATCCAGTTAGCTGAACACTGCAAAGCTGTACTAAGTAGTTAAGATGTAGATGGGCTACCATTTACCACAGAAGGCACTAAGGTAGCTAAAGTCAAAGGCTGCACTTGTGAAGATCAGCCAATTCAAAACTGACACAAATTGCTCAAGGGTGTCTTGTAGGTCTGTGTACTACTCCCATCTCGTTTTAGGACTAATGCTATTGCCAGCAGAAACAAGCAACATTTAGTCTAATGAAGCATAGACTATGCTTCAGTGGAAAGAAGACATTTCAAAGAAGCTCTGAATAAGATATCATCAGCATGCTCTGTTCCTCCGTCTATTAGGAAACGTTTCTATTACAAAAAGAAGAGATGACCACAAAGCCCTGGATGTATGCTTGGCAAATGTATGTACTCACCAAGCCCTGGGGAACAACATTTGCTTAAAGCCTCCAACTCAAACAAAAGTGGTTCCTCAGAACAGTAGCATTTCCTTATACAAATGTGACCTCATGCAGCAATCATCTGAAGAAAAAAAATTACTGATTGACACTTTGAATTTAGACGGGAGTAGCTGAACTAGATTATTTAATATTGCTTCATCTAACATTTAAATATTTATTGAGTATTTCTGTATAGTAGGCAACCCACCTAAAACTACTTCAAGTGTAAAAAAAGCCACAAAGGTTGTATTTTGCTTGTATTTCTGTGAATAGAAGACTAACGATTGCAACATGAAAACACTCAAATTAGAGGCCGTTCGGTAAAGTAGTCTAAAATAAGGCGATAAGCAGTACCCACATGCCAGAATTTAAATGCATAACTATCTTAAATATGGAATATCGTGTAATTTTAAAAGACTGCTTTTAGGCAGATGGTGAGATGAGTAAATACTAGTGAAGTGAACAGGCAACTGTAGAGGAAGCCAAAGAGAAACCAAGCTGAGTGTAGGTTCAGAGAATTCCACAAAAGCAGGAAACAGGCAATGGCCACTAGCAATCCTGCTGGGCTGCAGGGAGCCTGAGCCACAGGACTTGCAGTATAGCAGTCGGGCAGAGTTATGGAGTTTCAAGATCCTGCATGAATCTGCTGGGTAAGACTCTTGTATAATGCAGAATTGGATATGGCTGTCAAAGAAAAAGGAAAATAAGAATAAAAGGTAAACACAATCATTTCACAGGTTCAGAATGCTGGAAGATAGTCTTCTTTTGGGTTCTATTGTGTGTTTCAGTTTGAAGGAAAAATTGATTGTAGGAATACTATGTACCAGTCAAATGCAAACGTGAAAGAAAAAAAAAAAAAAACACAAAACACAAAGACCCAAACAAAACCCCAACAACTTACCCACTGTCCCATGTAAACTTTGCAAAGAATTTGGCATCTCTCAAAAGCCAAAGGAGAAGAAACAAACATACTTCAGGTCACAAAATTATGTTTCTCATTTTATTTTTAGACAAATATTCTTGACTGCCTCATTCCTCAAAAATTTACATCTTTTCTTATGGATATCGTCTCTATATGGAAGCAAGTTTAATACCAATTTTTCTTGACTTCAAGTTACTTGCTGGACAAACATCAATGTTAACCTCAGACACTTAACAAGTTACTCAGCATTGTCCAGTTTACACATTGAGCTCTGATCCTTGATCCAGGTCACCCTGAACTTTCATGGAAAAGATATATGGTTTCCTTCTGCTTTGGGTCAAGCTCAAACTTGTAATCTCTTCACACAATTGGAGAAGTAAAGAGGGAGAATTATTAACAGCTCTATTTTCCCCTAGGAGATATCCCATTGGACCGCTTAATTTCTTTTTTTTTTTTTTTGAGTTCTTGCATGTTACAAAAATATATTTCGGTCTAATGCTTCAGCCATGACTCAAAGATAAAATGCATAAAATAAGAATACCGCTAGAACTGGTAGCACTGGTATATGGAGACTGAATTATAAGTGGAATTTAAGATAGCCAAAACTGAGCACAGCAGGTTTAAAACTCACATATTTTCCATGTTTAGGAGAATGAGTTAAAATATCTGCTGGCTTTGCAAGATACTCAGAGCAGAAGAAAACTGGATCAGTTCTGTTTTGCAGTACATGCAGCTGTCTGAGCAGGAGAGACAAAAATCACAAAATTCACAGTGGAAGTTTTCTTTGCAAGATTAAGATCATGCAAAAGAGTGTAATATCTTCACAACTGCCCCAACTGACCATCTTCATATAGCCAGTTCCTTTACAGTACATTACAAATTGGCATTTCTCTAGCGGAAGAAGGGTATATCCCAGTGGGATGTTTTTATATTAAATAGGCATAGGCCCAAAATAATCCCTGGATTAAGTCCAGATTCGGACCTGTGAAGAATTTGTCAACCCAATATTTTAGGTCAATCCTTTAAAAGAATTCAGACTGCTGGCAAAGGTTGAGTACACATGTGGTGGATAACAGACATGACCAAGTGCCTCCTGCAAGTCCTCAGCTGCCACCAACCCCAGTGGAGGCCAACCACAATTAGAATTTTGGTTGGCATATCATACCAGGGTGGTGAAATGCTTCTATCCAACATGCCTGCCAACTGATATCAGATCATACTTGGTATTGATTTACTGATTAGAGAAAAACATGTTCTTCACAGCAATATTGAGGTGCTGTCTGATGACTCCTGAAACCACCACTTGGGTGAGGTGAAGCAGTGGAAATTCAGACAGCATTTCCACAAGTGTCTCCTGGACTAGGACTTCTCTCCTACACAGTAGTGTCCAGGGAAGCCCCCTCACACTGGAGAGGGTAAAATAAGTGAACAATAGTTGCCACAAGACACTACAGCAGCATTTTCCAATTTAAACTTTGGAGTACCAGCTATAAAGCCTTAGTTATTTTTAGAGAATATTCTTCCCTTTTTTTGGGTATAATTTATGTTCTTCAGCAAATTCAATCATGTTGCAAATCCATGCAGCAAGAAGTTTATTGTGAGCTCAATAGCTATGAAAGTCACATTAATACAAATCCTGATAACCCATGTTCACATTTCCCTGACTGCCTTTTATATCTTCCTGATTTTAAAAGGAAAGTAAAAAGGTTTTCCTCTGTGTCAGCTGCTCCATCAGGCAGCATTCTTTCTGCTTCACAGACTAAAGACAAATAATCAGAAATAGAAATAAGATGGCCCTACTGATGATGCTCAGTGAGACAGACAAGACTGTCACTTGTTGCATATACAACTATTGCTGACAGAGGTGAAAAATCTGCATCACTAAGAGCGAATACGACTCAGAAGCAGCTCTTAGGGGAAAAAAAAGCACTCAAAGGACTAGAGATTCTCCTTCCCCATAACCACATGCTTCATGAGTTTATACAGAGAGGAGGCCAGTAGCTCATGAGAAGGAAAAAAAAGAGAATATTTTACTGGCAAGAGTTACTAGAGAGTTATTGAGACCACAATTTGATACTGGTAATATTTATATTACTCTATATTTCTCTGATCAGGTCAAACTGATCCGGAAAGCTTGACACAACTATCAGTAAGTCACAGCATGTACTCTTTCAGAGAAAGAATTATATCAAGTTAAAAATAAATGGGTGATAACCAATTAAAAATCTACAAAGTTACTAATGGCTGTTGAGTAGCAGAAATCTCAGCATCAAGCAGCACTCATGCCCAAGCCAATTTTTCTTTTAACTTAAAAAAAAGTTCTGTAATACTAAGTAGCTGTTGACAAAATTGTAGCTCATACGAAAACAAACTACTCAATGAGAAGGGATCTCCTCCCAAGTTTGGCTGACGCATAATGACAAGCACCCACTAGAATGCATCCCTTGTGTTTTCTTCTACTAATATAAGTATTTTTTCTGAGTAACCAGCATTGATGTCCTATAACTGCAAAGCTTAAGAATAAGTTGTGCAAATGGAGCTACATGCACTTAAATGAAGAGATTGGCTCTCAAAGATTTGTTTTTCCTTAAATTGTTTAGTCTCTCACCTCCCTACTTCCATATTCTTTCCCAGAATCAGGCAGGAGATTCCTACAAGCTTTTGAAATTCTTGCTTAAGAATAGCAGATGTGAAAGAAATAAATCCAATTTTAGTCACCTCCAAGAACTGTCTAGATTATTACTAATGTGTCATACTGCACTGTAAACAACTGGAGAGAGATGGAAGTCCTTTACAGCTAAGATTGTATTAATCTTTCATTATTTATCTTATGCTCAGAGTTTATATTCAGCTCTCAGCTGATAAATCAACTTAGATGTTAAAGGCCTTGAAGTATTGCGATAAGATCTTGAGCCCTTCAAGACTTTGCTACTAAATACAAACATCAGCATTTCATAAACTATATAATCATTCCTGTTCCAAAGAAGTTGCTATCTAGAAGGCTAGTACTTTCCATGTGCTTCTCCTAAGCACAATTTAAATGAATGAATGCATGAATTTCCAAAGAAATTACATGGGAGCACCTTGAGATGGAACTCTATTTGTTACAGCAAGAAGAATATTTGCTTCAGCATAGCAAGCATGCATCATACAAAATAAATGTAGCATACTGTAAAATTTTACACTTATACAGGCTCATAATTCTTTAAGACATGTGATAAGGGCAAGTTTATCTCCCATACCCCCCCACTTGGAGCACTGTATAGAAATATACATCAGAAGAACGTGAAAGAAAAGTTGACTTGGGAACTCCTGTGCATGGCAAAGACACCATAGCTAATGGTACACCTATACAGTGTAGTGCCATGAAACTCAGACCCACATCTCACATGTGGGAAGAACTGTAGCTGCACCAACAGATTTGAGCTTTCCCACTCCAGCATTCCCTTGCCTCATTCAGACCTCAGCTCTCCCACATTTCTTGTATGGCCAGCAGTCTGGAACATCACTGCTGAATTACTTTTTTAAAAATATTAATGAAAAAGTCATGTAGAGTTACATCACAGCACAAACCTCTAAAAATTATTCCTAAGGACTGACATTATTTTCAAACTACAGACAAACTACAAAGAGCAAGATGATCAACAGGCAGAATTTGTAACAATTACAAACAAAAAGATTTTGCCATTAAAATCTTTAACAGCAAACAACATAGTATGTTACAGCTTGCAGAGAAAGCACAGGGCGAAAGTGCATAACTGAAAACATTTAAAAGAGACAAAATTATAGCACAAGCATTATAGCCAAGATCCCACTGATTGCTGCTGTCAAACTCCATGATCAGGTGTTTCAAAGACATTCCCAGGTGCAGAAGCAGTTAGTTGCTGAACAGAGTATTAACTGCTTTACTTAGCTCAATTACAGCAGAAAGCAAAAAATTATTTCCTTTTTTTGGGGGGGGAGAAGCCATTGGCAAAATTCTTACACCAAGAAAAGAAGGTCTTTCGTAGATGATATCTTCTGTACAAAACTAGAACTGGAAATTAAAAATAACTGTCAGTCTTTGGATATGTTTGATAGCATTCACATAGATGAAGAACAAAGTTTTCAGTGCTCTGTCCCTGCAAAATGAAATGTCACCGAGGTTAAAGGGAGCTCTGCACGTGCAGAAAAACACAATGTTCAAGCATAGGGCTCTAAGGTGAGTTAGTGTGTTTAATTCACTTTGACATAAGCTAATAAGAATACTTATAGGCACACAATCAAGATTTATATTGCCTTGTAAATGACCCTGTTGCCTTCAAAGGACTCTAAAGGTAATGCATATATGGGCCTCTGATTGTAGACTTACTAGAAGACAGACTACAGTGATGGAAGCATAGAATTCTGGCTTGCTTGTGAAGCTTATAAGAAGATCACATCACAGAGGAAAAGAATTTCTGTGGCCAGGAAATTTTACAAGTTACATTCAACCCCAGGTTCCCAATGAGGTGACATACAACATGAGCTCTTTATTTCCTCTAATAGAAACGCCTGACATGTAGCATCACTTACAAAAAGCAATAACAAATGCCTAGCACCTCCTGTATTAAAAGGAGTGAAAATCGTTGCTATTCATCCTCCCTAAACTCCTTTGAACCCAGAATTTTAATATTTGCCTTCACATCTTGTCTACAGGCAAATCTTTCCACAATATACACCAAGGATAGAAGCAAAGGGCACAACCAGATTAAGAACCAAATTCTTGGATCTATTCTGTTCTTTTTAGCATCTGATCCAGGGGCCATTGATATCACTTCAATAAATTTTGAATTATGCCATTGCTACATGTATCTATATACTTTGGTCTTCGCAAGAGTACATACAAATGAACAAAGTAAAAACTCTACCCTGTACTGTTGCCTTTGTAAAATGGGCTAAAAGAAAGGTTCCAAGACAGATGAATTATTTTCTGCTGCCAGCAGCACAAGATTTAGGGAAAACAGAGCAGATTTGTATGTAAAAAATGTTTGAGTGTGATTTTTTTTTTCCTGACAAATGGCTGCACAAAAAAAATTCCTCCCCAGCCAGTCATGCTCCATGACCTTTAACTATCCCTGCTTATTACTCTCCTTGCAAAAATAAGCTAATACTGGCTTTTCCTGCCACTGCCTCTGGCAGACTGCCATAATTGAAAAATGAGGCTAGATTTTTTTCTGGTTTATGCATAACAATAAAACTATTATAGAGTATAAAAATGGAGCCTCCCTGTTGACACTGAAGAGCAAGCCAAAACCAATTCAGCTGGATTCTCAAGTGCTGGCTGAGAGCAGTTGCTGCTTTAAATGACTAAACCACTCCCACTAATTCAAAACTTCAGGAAATTTCAAGGTTCCCTCTGTTGGTTTTAAATGCCAATTGGAACCACAGTGCATTTTTCTGTCTTTTTCTGATTTATTTTTAGCATGTGCAGCTATAGGAAACTCAGCAAGACATTTGCTTTTGCAAAAGAGAAAAGTCAGTATTGTCAACCACAAATTCATTAATCAAAAGTAAGGGCTAAAACCAGGACAGTTAAAAATGTGTAGGTTGTTTTTTTTTCCCCCTAAAATAGTATATATCTTATTCTTGCTATTGGCTGTCTGGTTCCTAGGTCTTCAGGACCCGGATTTCACATTTTCTTGATATTCACTATTAATACCAGAACTAGGTACCACTCTGAAAAGGTGGATGCTCATGAGGATTTAAAACAGTTTATGCAAAAATTTCAGCAGCATTTAAAAAGGTACAACTCAAATGACTCCTCTGGAAGAACAAGATCCCAATCCATGAAAGACACCAGCACTAACTTCACATCTGTAGAGCTCTCCTCTCAACAGTAGCAAAGTCAAACCAAAAAAAAGTAATGTAATTCATCATGAGCTAATAGATTATCAGAAGTTCCCATTTTATTTGGTAGATCACTAGATCTTTCTACTCTTGCACATTCACAGAGCTTCAACTTATCTGCTGCAAACCCTCAGTTGCAGCAGCAGAGCTCTAGGAATCAAAACTTTTCCTAAACAAAGTTGATATATGGGCTTAGTTTTATTTTATTTTATCTCAGAGACTAACATTTTTAGCAATTAGTTTCCCCGGTACCGTGCACCTCCACCCACTTGGACTCACTAGAAATCAAAAGTCAGGCTTCCTCTTCAGGGATCTAATCCTAGCTCTAGGAACAATTTTTAGTAAAAGAAAGGGGAGTTGGGTGTCAGCATCTTTCAGCTACTCTTCCACTGCAGCCACTCCATGCAACCCATGTCCTCAGGACTTCTTCCTCTGCCTGAATCATATGTATGTTCCTACTCTTTCTAGAAGTAGAGGGCAAATGAAACATATACCACTTAACCTCACTAAGATTTGAAGTCCATATGTAGAATGAGCCCAGCAGTAGTGACTTTACTGCTGTTCTTGACCTCCATTGATCGCAATAGTCAGGATTAAACTGGCTTTTCCATTAAGGATGTGGGGCAGATCGGGAAATTCAGACAGCTCCCAGTCTGCCAGGCTTCTTATCCCCGAGGGAGCAAGCTTCCCACCCAGCCATTAACATACCTCTTATTAAATCAAACAATAGAGAAGCAAATTGGTCAACTAGTAAGATGGGGGTTTCTGGTATTATAAGGAGAAATCTAGAATCAATGTTTTTGGTTAGGTGTTGATTTTAGATTAGAGGGTATATAAGAAGATATACATAAAAGGCATTCAGTACAGGTCCCTTAAATTCAATCTTTCTTGTCCTTCCTTCACATACACTCAGTGATACTTCAGTGATGTTATGTTTCAAATTAACATTAATCGACAGTCCTGTGAGGAAAGCAATTATAAGATATATTCAAGAGCCAAACCGGTCCTGTTTTGATGAAGCACAGAATAATTTACATGCACACGTAAAAAGATTCTTATCCACAATTTCTTGAATCCAAGTTTTATCAAAAACTCGAACACAGCCTTTAAACTAATGGTAATAATTCAATGGTAAATTAAAGAGAAAGGTTGAAAATTTAGAAAGGATTCTTCTGGCATGCAACTGTTCAAGACAAAGTATACAGGAGAAATCAGGTAGTAGACAAATATTATTACTAATCTGCTAAACTGTTCTGCTGATGTTAGAATTTATGAGGAACTACCTTCCCCCTTCTTTTCCCATAGAAGCGTTCTGTTTTTGTTTTCTTCTCCCCTCAACAAAACTCCCAATACTAGTGAAAACTAGGTATAAAAAAAGTTTCAGCCAAAAATGAACAACAACAACTCTAATAACATATTTTCAGTATTCTTGTTTGGAGATATTTGAAATTAAAAAAAAAGTTTTGCTGCTAGGAAATAAAGTTTATTTGTCTATACATAATACAGAAGAAAACATCTGCATTGCTGCATTTGCTTCTTTGTTTTACTCTTATATTCTTTCAAATAAACACAGATAAATTGTGAAGTACAGTTTTTTGCTTAATCTTAAACTGTGAAGAATAGTATTCATATGGTGTAGGGTCGATTTGATGTTGAATTATGTGCCACATATGCTATAAAGGTACTTGGTTTACAATAAACTATAATACTACCAGTGTTTCCTGAATTTGTCTCCAGTGACAAAACTCATTAGTATTTTGTTTTTTATTTCCGGTTATGGACACAAAAATAAATTGCTTTCCCTTCAGGCACCCTAATAATTTGATATAAACAGACCTGACATTTGAACATCATACAGTAACACAAAGAGGTCTTTTTCTCTCACACATAAACAATAAACCACAACTTTCTGTTTCACTAATCAAGTAACAAAGTACTCCGCTTTACATTCAAAAAACAATCTGACTTCTCAAATCTCATTAAAACTGGAATCTCTCAATTCTTTCAGTGAACTTCAGTATAGACACTAAAAGCCATAAGAAATCAGGGACCTTTCTAGCATCCTCTTAAGCTGCATTATTCCAGGAATACAAAGAATATGTTACTCTAACAGCAGCCCCATAAACCCCAATAGCATCACACTGGTTCTCTGGGATGATTTCACAGAAGAAATGAAGCATTTATCCAGTTGGATGCATTTATTTGGCTGAGGTTACTTCAACCATGTTGCCAGTTCATACTTTTTAATGGTTTACTTTAACCTGTAACTTGGCCACCTAGTTTAAAAAGGCAATTTTTGTGACAATTTAATAAATCATTGTCTCACCTCTGTTGGGAAAGCCTAGTCTTTCCATGAGAGGCTCACAGCAGTTCATTGTGCTGCTTACTTAACCATAGTAAGCTTTTGTTCTCACCAAGAGCCTCCCTTATCTTTCCAATGTGAATGTCTAAGCCTTTCCTTTACCAGGCGAGTGTGAAAACACAGATTAGTGCAGACAGTGAACAAACAATTGTGTTTCGCTTTCATGGCATCTATCTTGTATTGAGGAAAAACTACAGTTGTTGTTTTAAGATGTTCCTCCTGCCAGTGTAAAAAGATACTATATGTGAATATATTTTAAGGTAGAGTCTCAGTCCATCCTGGAAAAAAAATAAATTGATCATTGTTTAGGGCCTCTGAGCTGTGGTTTTATTGCGTTACACAATATAGGTTACATTTGGGAAGAGGGACAGTGATACACTGATGACAGATAAGTGTGTTTATCAACAGCTACCAAATGCACAATGTCTAGCTTTGTATGAAATTATATTGGTAAATTTTAACTGTGTATGTGTGCTCTAATGCCAACATGTGAACTACAGTATGTTAAAAGTGATCATGTCGTAACTTATCAATTATCTAAGGCTCCACACTCTTTTTATCTGTCATTTTTATGACATTCTCAAGCTAGAATTTATGTACATGCCTAAAGCAGAACACAAAGCAACTCTGAGCACAATCTATACCAGTACAGAAAGCTTTAAGGTAACTCCAGTGTTGTAAGAAAAGAGATTGTCCATATAAAAGGATTATCAGATGAATGTGTGCATATTCAGCTCATCAAATCACTCTCAACAAGCAAGGACTGCATAGGAAATCCAGCTAGGGATAGTATAGCTTTTGCTGCTGTCAGCTTCCGATGTATGTACAGTGCATTGGACTCTGGCTTGATTGATCCTGCAGATGCCACAGCCTCACAGTAAAGAAAAACTGTAGAAACTATTAAAAAGCAACTCTTGCAGGGAAGCAGATCTGTGACAAAACCCAGCGTGAGCAGAAGAAAAAAAAAACCTACAAAAAAACAAGAGACTACAAAAAAAAAGCCTTCCCATTTCTGTTAGGATTAGAAATTCAGAAGAGCTAGATACTGGTTTCTGAGTGGAAGAGGTTTGTAATGACCAAGGATAATACCCCTCCATGCCCAAACAGGTTTAGCATGCAGTCTTCTGAAGGGCTTACTACCTGACCAGCCTCGTTGTGTATGTTGATAGACAGAACCTTTTTCCCTGTAGAAAGGGGATTATTCAGAAGGAGAAGAAAAGAAAAAAAACCAGAACAATCCACAGAGAATGCTCAGAGAAACCAGAGGGACTCACAAGCACATTTTACAGCGTGAAATGTTTAGTGTTTATTTTGCTAACAGATGAGTGTAGTAACCCTTATTGATGGCAGACTTATTAACCTTATATTTCCTTCTAGAAATAACTCAAAGTTGCCTTTTTTTTTTTTAAAGTTGGAAGAAGAGAAGCTCCTTTTCTCAAAAGAGATTTATTGTTAACTGGTAAAGCTCTTTCTCTTGCTTGATTTTTCTTTTGTGTCACCAGATGCGTGACAATAACACTGTATTACATCAGGTCACATGATTCATAAAACTGTAACTAATGGCAGAAGCAATAACAAAACATTGCTTTTAACATTTTCATTAACAGCACTTGAACAAGCTTAGGTATACTTTCCACTGGCAGACAACACTAAAAGGTATTTGCTCACATTAATCATGCAAAGCTAATGTTAAGAAAGAAAAAAAATTAAAATGGCTAAACTGGCAGAATTCTCTCTCATTCTTCCCTCATTTACTTAAGAATAATAAAAAAAAGAGTCAATTGTTCATACACATTAAATTCAGCAAGATAAAAACGTAGATTAATAAAACCACTATAGCAATTAACTGTATCCAACCTTGGAAACTGTTGACCTACTTAGGCTCCCTTAAAAAAAAACAACAAAAACCACAAACAAACCATACTGGACAGAAGGTCTGGGAGGGTTTTGGCTTGTTTTTTTTTTCATTTTAAAAGCTGACAATTAGATCATTTTTGCCTTGTAAATGTGAGCTGTGTTGGCCTACTTTCTTGATAGAAGTGATAAAATTAATACTCGATTGTTATATTGCTGTTTTCATGCGGTTTATATCAACTCTTGGTGTCTAGCTGATGATAAGTGTAGAATAACAAATGCAGATTGTCTATCAGATCTAAAAAACAAAATAAAAATCTGCTTATAATTAGAGTCAGTCAAAACGAAACAGTAAGAATAGCATAGCCTAATCTTTTCTGTGCAGATGGATGGCAAAGGAAGCTATATAATGTCTCTCCATTGTATGATCAGAAGCCTTCAGAGAATAAGTTGTTAGAAGGCTTTTCTCTCAAGTTCTCTGAATTATTTTGCACTTACATATTAAGTCTAGATATTTCTGCTTTTAAATCCCAAGAAATAAACTACAGGCAGTCTCACTCTAAGCATGGTAATGAAGTAATACCTAGAACTTGGTACTGTAGACAACTAATTTAAACAAATATTATGAGCAGAGATGTTTATTACTAGTTACAGGGCAGATGAGGATGTTTAGGAACCTACAACTTCAGAGGAAAGGGAAATGACTAGCATTTCCAAGTATTGCCAAACATGCACGTTCGGTCTAATGTTCACTAAACACAGAGAAAAGTGTGCAATGGAAGAAATCTTCCAAAAAGAAGATTTTGCTGCACGTGCCAATTAGCTGGATTGTGTGGCTACAGACCATAGCCTTTTCTGGGCAGAGACTGCATCCTAACACAGGCGTGCCTACAGTCTCCTACAACAAATCTTCACAGAGATGGTAACCTCTCTTGGTAGAATTACCCTTTTACCAATCTGTCAGTAGCACTGAGTAACTGTACAGCATTGAGATGCTCTGATTTCAAAATCTTCAATTTCAAACTCTAAAATATTTTAGGAAAATATTTTAGGAAAATAAAAAACTTTTAAAAATTCAAATTGAAAATAGCTGTCCTAATTCATGGTCTGATTAGAAAACACAAAGAATTCTAACTTTTTTTTTAATGAAAAAGAAAAAATAAACAGGTGCAACAATACAGAAAGATAGATTAAAAACACAAGTAAATTACATATTGGGGAATTAAACAATGTAGCTAAGCACTCTTTTAGATATTATACATCATAGGTGTGCAGATTCTAAGAACTATGAATTCTCATCACACCAGCAACAAGATATCATCCACTGCAGCCAAATTGTGCAATTGGTTCTTTAGACAGGAATATAAATTAGTAAGAGCATGATAGCACCATATTATGGATTCCAGACAGTGTCTTTCCATTTATTTTTATGTGTCTGCATATCCTTATAAAAACAGTGACATGGAGTGAGACATCTTGAAGTATACTCCAAATGGTCAGCATTATGTACGCACACATTCTGTCGTTACTCAGTTGCATAAGCACTGTACGGTATGTAGTGCCCTTGGGCTACCTAAGGCTTCCCCTGGGGCTGGTAGGTCTGACACAGGTAGGTGGACATACTGGCCAGTCCCTGCTGCAGCAGCCAATGGAGGCCACGGGGTATCCTAGAGCATCTCAGTGGGACTAGATGCCTGTGTTTACACAACTGAATCAAGCCTGCTATCTTAACTATATTAGCTAAAGATTTCACACTTGCTAGCTTTTTTTTTTTTTTAACCCATCCCTGGCATCTTAAACTATTTACTAAAAAGCTGTTTTCTCTAAAACTTTATTTTGCCCTCCAAAACTGCTGTCGCAATTATCACAAGATGACCATGCTTATACAGAAATCTTTGTGT